ATCAATATTTTCATCTTTAGAGACCTATTTTTATGCGATTTTTTAGACGTTTTTTCTTTCCTGCCAAGAGGCCATTCTGAATTAATGAGAACTGTCGAAATCAGTTAAGCCGTTCTCGACATATAAGAGATCTTTCAAGCATATCTCCTTTAATAGACATATATATCGCACATATTTTGCTATATATCCGATTTGTTGGATCTTAACATCAATGTAAAGATCAGAAGTAACCTTGTCATGGCTTTGTGATTTCGCCGGGATTTAAAATATTCGCGGTTAAATGAAAAATTTTGAATTTTTTCAACAGAAAAGATATGGTCTATTTTACCCGCTAAATATTATCCGATGACCACCCAAATTGGTAGGCTTCCTCCCCGCCCTAAACTCTAGCTACATGCGTCGATTGGTCTATAATTGCGACCTGTATAGCTACTGCAAAATCCGACATTTTTTCAGTATTTGGTCCATTTCAACACCTAAACAAAAGAAATAGGCTTCTATTCTGACCCTAACCCCACCTTCGTGCAAAATTTCGTTAGGATCGGGCCATAATTGCGACCTGTAGCGTGATTACAAATTAACATGGACAGACGGACGGACAGACATACATAGCTATATAGACTCAGCTCGGCGAGATGGGAAGATCTATATATATATAGTTCCCTATGTCGGCAACCAATATTTCGAGGTGTTACATAAATTCTGGCCCAATCAAATGTACACATAGTGTTGTAGGGTATAAAAATTATGTTAGGCTGATATTGAAAATTTTCTGATTTTCCCTATATTGGGTTATATCAGGATTTTCTGTTGGTTCTGTGGATGGGAGTAAAAGAGAACGCTATATATGAGAGTGCTTTGATTATTTCGCCTGTAAGTTTTATTTGATTTTCGTGTACGATTACAGTTTTTAAGTACAAAATTGTAAAACTAGTATAATATAGTGCCATATTGCAGGTTGGATTCCAAATCAGTTCATATATCATAGAAGTAGGTAAAATCAAACCCATGCTTATATTTGCTTCAGAGCTACGTTGATAATCCCATGGCGCCCAAATGTTCTAATTAAATACAAGTCTCGACATTCAATCTGACCCTGTAGCTTTTCGAACTTGGGCCAAAGTGTGTGAACTTGATTGTAAGATGTTTATTCCCATTTCATTGTTCATATCCGAATAATTATTAGAATATGTTGGTTGATTTTTATACCCGCCTCCATGGAAATATATATGATTCCGTTTTAACGCCTCACAATTTTGATCAACAAAATATTCTACATCGATTTTGTGATGCCCATCTGTATGTTTATTGGAATTACAATACAGGCCACTTTATTTGACATAGAAATTTGACAATTTGAAATTTGACAAAATAGTTTGTATTATTTTTACCGTGGTTGGAATGTCCACATTTCTGAAAATACTAACCGAAAACACCAGACATTAAAAGAGAGCTCAATATCAAATTTCGTGATTACAGCTCTATACATTTACTCAGTACTAAATTTAGTAACATTTAGTACTTTTCATAAAATTTTAATACACACTTGCAAAACCGTTTCATATCTCAATCCTAGACACCAACACCTATCGCAATATAAAACTCCACGGTATTGGGCGAAGCAATATCAAATTTAGTTCAATTTAGTTATTTTCAAACAGTACGCATTAAGTACCATTTAGTACTTTGCGTACTGTTATAGTACACATTTTCAAAACCACCTCCGTATTTTAATTCCAGATACAATCAGAGACCTCAATATAAAATTTCAGGATTTCAGCTCAAACAATTATAGTACACATTTCCAAAATCACCTCCAAATCTCAAACACAGATACCAACCGAGACCTCAGCATCATATTTGAGGATTCCAGGTCTATCCCTTCATGCAAGACCAAATTTAGTAAACTTTAGTACTATTCGAACAAGTATAGTACGCACTTCCAAATCTCAACCTCAGATACCAGCCCTGCTACCAATTTAGTACTACTAAGTACTTTTCGAACAATTATAGCACACATTCCCAAAACCACCTCCATATCTTAACCACAGACACCAATATTGACATCTATATCAAATTTCAGAATTTTATCTCTATTACTTCACCCAATACTAAGTTAGTTAAATTCTTTAGCACTTTTCGAACAACTATTGTACACATTTCCGAAGCCACCTCCAAATTTCAACCTCAGATACCAACAGTTATCTAAAAATCAAATTTCAGAATTTTATCTCTACCCTTCAACTAAGGTCATATTTAGTACTTTTCGTACAATTATAGTACAGATTTCCAATCCCAGATAGCAACAGAGACCTCAATATCAAATTCGAAGATTCTAGCTCTATCCCTTCACCTAATACCAAATATAGCAACATTCAGTACTTTTTGTACAATTATTGTTTATATTTCTGAAAACACCTTCAGCGTCCAGGTTACATATGAACAGTGACCCTAAAACCAATTTTCAGATTTCAAGCACTATCAGTTCACCCAATAGCAAATTGTAACAAATTTAGTACTATTTAGTACTTTTGGCACTTACAGTACCATTTCTAAAACCATTTAGTATCGTTTAGTACTTTTCGTATACATTAGTACACACTTACAAAGCTATCTCCTTACATCGACTCTACTCCTCAACCTCAAATCAAATTTTTTATACCCTCCACCATACTATGGAGGGTATATTCATTTTGTCATTCCGTTTGTAACTCATCGAAATAATGATCTTAGACCCAACAAAGTATATATATTCTTGATCAGCGTAAAATTCTAAGACGATCTAGCCATGTCCGTCTGCCTGCCCGTGTGTCTGTCTGTTGTAATCACGCTATCTTTCGAACGAATTGAGATAGAAGGCTAACATTTTGCACACATGTCTATTTTGCCAGTAGGCAGGTTAATTTCGTAAATGGGCCATGCAGGTCCACGTTTTCATATAGCCCCCATATAACGGTACCTCCCGATATTCGGTATTTTGGTGATTTTAGCGACATTATTCACCGGAATTGTTTCATATTTGGTATTTGAAGTTCGAAATGGATACTACAGCCTGAGACAGAAAATTGTCTGTGCAGGTCCACGTCTTCGTATAGCCCCCATATAACGGTACCTTTCAATATTCGGTATTTTGATGATTTTAGCGTCATTATTCACCGTAGTAGTTTCAAATTACGTATTTAGAGTTCGTAATGGGAACTACAGTCCGTGACAGAAAATTGCCTGTGCAGGTCCAGGTCTTCGTATAGGCCCTACTTATCAGTACCTTCTTATATTCGGTATTTTGAAGATTTTAGGTACAATACTCACCGAAATTGTTTGAGATGTCATATTTAAAGTTCGTAATGGAAGCTACAGCCTGTGACGAGGTCTTCGTATAGCTCCTATATAACGGTACCTCCCTATGTACGGTATTTTGATGGTTTTGGCTTCATTATTCACCGTTTATTTCAAGTTTCGAATTTGAATATGGCAATGGTTTGTGACAAACAATGCCTATGTAGGTGCACGTTGTACAGGCCCTAATATAACGGCTATATTCGATATTTTTTAAATGTTAATAGAATTTTTGGCGGCCAAACTTACTGCTGTTTTACTTGTTATGATACAAAATCGTACCAAATGTATTAAGTTTTAGTACTTTTCATACACTAATGATGCGAATTTTCAGAAACCCGTTTTTACATCTATCATGCACTCTACATCTTTCTAGCCCTACTGCTTCCTCAAATATAATGGGTGCCATATTTATTATCTTTCTTAGTCTTATCTTATCCCTTCGGATCAAGGGTGATCCTTACAAAAAAAATTTCAAGATTCTAGCTTCAGTCACTGAATTACTTTACTGTTTTGCAGGGTGAGATGATAAAAACATTCGGCAAATATTGAAAAATGAGCTCGGGGTAAAGCCATTGAAATTCCAAAAAGTGCAAGAACGTGCACCGCAAAAGAAAGAAAATACACTCAAAAGAGCTAAAGAGTTGCTTCGCTTGGCCGAAAGTGGTGAACTGCCGAATTTGGTTTTTTCCGATGAGAAAACATTCGTTCTCCAGCAGTTTGTAAACAAACAAAATGATCGTGTTTACTTGCCAAAGAGATCAGCTGAAAATGTGCACCTTGGTTGGCCACCAGAACTCAAGTGCCGGCCATGGTGATGTCGTGGGCCTCCATAACAACATTTGGTCGTATTAATCCACCGTGGCATCAGAATAAATGCCGAATATTATCGCGAAAATATTCTGGAGGGTGTATTAAAGCCTTGGGCACTCAAACATTTTGGCCGCAGACCTTGGACATTCCAACAGGACTGGCATTCAGCACGTGCCACCCAAGAATGGTTGCAAAAAGAGGTTCCTCGCTTCATTTCCAGCGCATAGTGGTCACCAAAATCTCCGGATACCAATCAGTTGGACTATTATGTCTGGAATATTTTGCAAAGCAAAGTTGGCACTAAAAATACCAAGGTTTCGATCACCTCAAGCAAGAACTTCGCCGGGAATGGGCCAAAATACCGTAGAGCAACATTCGGACAGCGTGTGACGGCTTCATTATAGCCATATGACTGAGGGTATAAAAAAAACGACACAGAAGACTCCTTTGTTGACTCGCTTGAGGGTTAACATTTTCTGCCAAAATAATCCTCGTATTTTTATTTGCAATATTGAAGACACTATATACCTTAAATGCACGGATTTCGAGAAATCTTTATCCGAAATTTCCAAAAGGACGAGGGAAAGGGTGGGGGACCTCTCTATTTTTTTTACCTTTCAATGTAAACTTTCGAAGCGCCGATACACATGTCTTCTTTTTTAGCTTTACTTTCATAATCTGCTGGATTTTCACCGTAATTATTGGTGGCGTATGAAGAGTGACATAACTCATACGTTCCATGGTCCCAAATTCTAACATCTTCATTATAGATTGAATATCTCCGAAGAAATTTATTTCAAATATATTATAGATCCGTTCCTCCTAATATCACCAAAGAAAATACCCCTCACTCACACTCAACATTTACGAGAAGTTTTTATTTCTCAAAAAAAGTATTTCGACAACAATTTCCATTTTGTATGTATGTATGTAGGTCTATACTATGTAGATAGGTAGGTGGTAGGTACATGTAGGTAAATGTGCAGATATTCCCGAAAAAAGTTTATCTACATGAGATAAATTCGTTATATAAATCAGATAATCTCAAGAATTACAAACAGCTAAGTTTTAATCAGCTAACCAAAAGAAATGGCGGACTTCTTCCTCATTCGATGGCCGGCAATGGGGTGGAGTTTTATCCGGGGCACCGGCTGAGGTCAGGGACATACGTAGATCACGCATAGCCTTCATGTTACGTTCTGTGGCCAAAGTCAGATCAATCATGGGACTGGGATAATGGACACCGATGAGGCATTCGGCTTTTTCTTGCTCCTCCAGGGGCATACGCCAGGGTTCATGGCTGGGAATGAGAATAATGTTAAATTCTTTTAAAATAATTTATGAATTTTCTACTCACATAAACAGTTGCGGAACCTTGGCCAATTCGGGTACATATTGTTTGATGTAGGTGCCCAAAGGATCCAAGCGTTTGGCCAGGGCCACGGGACAGGTGACCAACGATGAATCCAATAGACGTTCAAATGCCGATGAACTAACCCACATCCAATTTCCGGCACAAACCGACCAATCGGCATCCAGGAGATGTTTAAGGAAATACCTCAAACCATGTTCCCAGTTCTGCCAAAGACCTCCGCGTGTCAAAAATGTAGCCACCGTATTACGCAGGGTATGATGTAGCCAACCTTCGGCCAATAATTGACGCATGGCAGCATCAATTAACGGGAATCCCGTCTGACCCTCCGTCCAACGATTTAATTGCTCAATATTTGTGGGTGCCCAGGGAATGGTTAGGCAGATGGCATTACCCTCCATGCGATCATAGTAGGGATTATTGACCGACATCGTATAGAAATACTCCCGCCATATAAGTTGTCCGGTGATATGAGCCCCACCAAACATTTGCATTCCAAACCCCTCCGCCTGCAGTTGTACCGTTCGAAAGAGATCATGGACATCCCAATAGAATTTCCTGACCGATAGGCATCCGAAACGCAAATGGGCACTCATCGATTTCGGAGATTCGAGTATATTCGGACTAGCTTGATTGGGTAGATAGCGGCCACAGCGAAATGCATTCTCTTCGACATTGAGACGTTCGCGCAAGTGTAGTAGGGCTTGGGTCTCGCCACCAATCCATTTGGTTTTGGCCAAATAACTGAGTTTTTCGGGAAAAATTTTGAATTGTTCCGGCGTTGGAAACTGTGTCGGGGGGGTAATTTTGAAATCAATTTGAAATGGGTTTTATTCTATGCCCTACTTACCTCGAGAAATCCTCTTAGTTCCTTTATGAGATTCTCCTCGATTTGTATGAATTCCACATTTGTCCAGTCGGGATCATCTGCTGGTCTGGGTGGCAGACCAATAACCTGAACAGTGTGCTGTGGAGAGAAAGAAATTCAAAAGCTTTTCATATGCATCAGAAAAAGTCTGCGGAACCAGATTTTCGTCATGGAATCTTTAGTATTTTATTCGAACTTTTTTAAAATATTTTTCGATTTTTGTGGAACAATGAATGCCCCTTGTTCTTATTCGAAAAAGCAAGGCAATGACTAAAGCCGGTAAAAATATTTTCTACGTTTTAAAATTTAAGCAATTAAAATGGCGCCCAACGGTTTTTAATTTACTGCATCAGTTGATTTACAATTTCACCGGATGTAATCAACATTACACGAATCACAACACTTACCAAAAACATTTGATATGTCAACGGTGGTATACCACCATTGGTATCGATAACCGTCTGTGGATCCCATAACGTATGCGAGATTTTCTCCACGGCTTCTATACCCAAGTCGTGACAAAGTGCCTTCACTGAATTATCTCTCTCATTCCAAATGGGCTCACAATCCTGTTCGAAACACAACTTGTGAATACGGAATTTTTCATGTAGGCTACGAAATATTTGCACTGGATTTCCTTGGAAGAGATAGAGGCGGCCACCATTGCCACCGCTAATGGCACGGAATTGATCATCGAGATCTTTGAGGGAGTCCAAGAGGAACTTAAAACGATTGTAGCCCACACATTTGGTGCCTGTAAAAGAGAGGAACATAATTAAAATCACTTGCTTTCAAATACTTATGTAATGCTATTGGGTGCAAATGGCGCCCAAGATGAAAAACAACAAAGAGAGTTATTTTCAGTGTGGAACTAAGGGGCATCAAAGTCCTTATGGAAAAAAATTACTTCTAAAGGGTGATTTTTTAATAGCTATATGAAAATTTTCAAAAGAAAAAACAAATAATCATTCGATTTGAAAAAATGTATGAAATTTTGAATAACCTGTACCATTTGGAATAAACTTACAAAATTTTTATAAAACTTCGCTGAAAAATTATTTAAATACAGAATATTTGGTAGAACACGTATTTATCTGTCAATGTAAATGGTGCCTATTGTGAACTGCAAATACCAATATTAAGTTAATTCCGTTGAAAATGTGGATAAAAAACCGCAAAATATCGAATATCGGATGGTATGGTTATATGGCGTCTAAGAAGACGTGGATTTGTATAGGAAATTTTCTGTCATAGGAAGTGCTGATCAATTATACACTCTGTGGGGCTTAAAATTCTTATTTCGAGGAGTTACAAACGGAATGACAAAATTTAAATGTAGTTGGGTATAAAAACAATCGGCCATGTATATACCGGGTGAGATGAAAAAACTGCAACCAACTTCAGACGGCTGTCATTTCTAAGCTACTCCGACAGCTGTTAAAATTATTCCTTCGCCAGCTCATTACATTGTTTACAAGTGTACAAAAGCATTTTGGTGAGATTTTCCAGAAAAAAGTTATTCGTGATGGAATTCAAGCGTGATAGTGTGATTTCTTTATATTTGGCTGAAAAACCACAAGTGGCTATCGATAGAGCACTCCAGCATTTAATTTTCACTCCAGCGAATTTGGTTTTCTCCGATGAGAAAACATTCGTTGTCCAGCAGTTTGTAAACAAACAAAATTATCGGATTTACTTGCTAAAGAGGTCAGCTGAAAATGTGCACCTTCGGTTGGCCACCAGAACTCAAGTCACGGCTATGGTGATAATGTGGGCCGTCGTAACAGGCGATGGTCGCTGTCCGCTCGTATTAATCGACCGTGACATCAGAATGAATGCCGAATTTTATCACGAAAATATTCTGGAGGGTGTATTAAAGCCTTGCGCACACAAACATTTTGACCTTGGACATTCCAACAGGACTCAGCACTATTGCACTCAGCACGCGCCACCCAAGAGTCGTTACAAAAGGAGGTTCCTCGCTTCATTTCCAGCGCACAATATCCACCAAAATCTCCGGATACCAATCCGTTGGAGTATTTTGGAAAGCAAGGTTGTCACTAAAAAAATACCAAAGTGTCGATCACCTAATGCAAGCGCTTCGCCGGGTATGGACCAAAATGCCGCAGAGCAACATTCGAGCAACGTGTGTCGATTTCATTGGCGGCTTGAAGGCCATAATTCGTGCCAAAGGGGACCAATTCGAACAAATCTAAACTAATTCTTAATTTTGATGCTATTTCCGACATTTTTTGCTTTCATTCAATAAAATTAAAAAAAAAATGTTAAAATTATGGCGTTTGACTTTGTTGCAGTATTTTATCTCACCCTGTATATTCCTGATCAGAATAAAATTATAAGGCAATTTAGCGATGTCCGTCAGTCTTTTGAAATACCGATAGAGTGCACATTATTTAATCTAGAGCTTTGCAATTTAGCAGGATGATTGATATTGGAAATGGGATATATTAATCTACGTTTGGGTATAGCTCTCATCTAACGATATCTGCAGATTTTCAGTATTTTGAAGGTTTCTGCCACAATGTACAACCAAATCAGCTGAAACTTTATATTTAGGGTTCTTGTTGGTTGGTGGTTCACTCCTTGCAAAAAAAGTTTGTTTCAGCTCCACTGATTGGTATAGCCCCCATAAAACGATACCTTCACATTTTCAGTATTTTGAAGGTTTCTGCCACAATGTCCAATCAAATTTTACGACACTTGACAATTGGGAATCTCAGTAGGTCTGTTCTCTCTTTGCAAACAATTTTCGATTTAGGTCCACTAATTAGTATAGCTCCCATATAGCAGTATCTCCGATTTTCGTTATTTTGGTAGCTTCTGTCACCACTTTCAACCATGTAATAAACTCAAAATGAAACGCGAGTTTATTATTAAAACAATCAAACTTTATTTTTATTTTAAAGTGCAATTTGGCAGCTACGCTTCACAATGATGAGTGATTTGTTCTTCTTAGAACAAAGTTGCAGGTGGCCACCAAACAGCAATCTTCTTTTGTAACGGCATCGTCTATTGGCGTTGTTGTTTATGTTTTTGGTATTGCTGAATGAGGAGAGTACCAGAGAGTGTATGTGCTTATATGAGAATAATTCTATGTTATTAATTAGTTAATTTGAAACTGGTTTTTGTTATTTACTCTCATTATAAATTACTCGTACATAGCTACATATGTTTTCATGTAAATAGTTTTACATTGTTAACAGGGGCGTAGTATTGTAATATAATAATGTGGGACACCACAACTACCCCCTCCTTAATTTTTTGCTCAAACAAAAGTTTAATTATTTAATGCACTTATTTCTTCTTATAAAAATTTTGTATTGAGAAAAAATTAATAGCATATCATATTATTTTCTTGGCTTTCTTTCTCTTAAATTATACTTCACAATTTCTTTTTTATTATCAGGTAAATTTTCTGATTCCTTCTTTTCATTAACAATATTTGTATTTTCTTCTATTAGATTTTCATTACGATTTTCTTGGATAATGGGAGAAATTTTTTGTAAGGGGTCTAAAATTGTACTTGGAAAGTCCGGTTCGTGTTCATTAGGTTTCATACAAGGTATAATTTGGTTTGCATGACGTTTCCATTTTTTACCATTATTCATTTCAATAATATAAGTCTGTTTTCCAATTATATCACGTATGAAACCTTTTGACCATGAAACTTTTCCCGGAACGGAATAATCTTTTACAACCACATTTTCATTGATTTTAAAACAAGACTTTTTACTACCCTTATAGTATTTCTTTTGATTCTCTTGTTTGTTTTTAGCAAATTCTTCGATTTGTTTAAAACTTTTATCTATGACAATTCTCTTTGGATTGAGAATATCTAGTCGAGTTCTCAACATTCTTTTATTAAACATTAAATAAGAGGGAGAAACACCCGTGCTTATATGAGTGGTGTTTCGATAATCAAGGAGAAAACGACATAACCCTCTGTTGAATTCCGACAATGGTGTATTTTTTAAACTGCATTTAAGAGCGTTCTTAATGGTTTTAACAGCGTTTTCGGCTTGGCCATTTGTTGCTGGATTTCCTACTGGTGACGTAACTTGCTCAATACCATTCATTCTCATAAATGTCCGAAACTCATTTGACACAAAAGATGTACCATTGTCCGAGACGACATATTTTGGCAAGCCAAAACGTGCAAACAGTCCCCTCAAAACTGCTATTACGGCTGTACTCGTTGTATTTGTACCCATATCAATACATTCCAACCACTTACTGCAACTGTCTACTACCACCAGACACCAACGCTTCATAAACGGACCAAAAAAATCTATATGAATTCTCGACCACACTTCATCTGTTCTTGGCCACGGTATCAATTCCTGCTGAGGTGGAGTTGGTCGTGTCATAAGACATGGTTCACAAGACTTCACAACCATTTCCAAATCCTTATTCTGCCCGGGCCACCAACAACATTCTCGAGCCATAGCTTTCATCTTTACTATTCCCATATGGGACGCATGCAAGAAATTTAATATATCTTTCCTAAACACTGTTGGTATAATAACACGATACCCCCAAAATATGCAACCTGATTCTTCCGACAATTCATGTCTTTTCAAAAAATAGGGTGATAATTCCTGATCAAGACATTTTTTCGGCCAGCCACTAGATAGCAAAACTTTAACCTTCAACAGAATTTTATCCTTTTCTGTTTCATTGCGAATACTTTCAAAATTCAACAATTTACTTTCGCTGTGCATTACTTCCAAAAAATTTAAATAAACATTATTTGGGAACTGTTTTGGCGCAAAATCAGATTCTTTTGGGTATCTAGAAAAATAATCAGCAACGTTATACTTTGATCTAATATGCGACACATCAAACTGATATCCCGATAACGTTAATGCAATACGCTGCAATCGGCTAGAAGCCATCAATGGAATTCCCTTCTTAGGGCCCAAAATATAATGAAGAGGTTTGTTATCAGTCACCAAAGTGAAATGACGTCCATACAAAAATTGGTGGAATTTTGTAACACCATATAAAATTGCTACCGCCTCTCGATCCAACTGCGAATACCTCTTTTCACAATCAGTTAATGTCCTAGACGCAAATTCAATCGGCCTTTCTGTACCATTTTCTTCTATCTGTGACAGCACAGCTCCTACTCCTACTGGACTTGCATCCACAGTTAATTTCGTTCTAAAATTGGCATTGAAGTGAGCCAAACATTTTTCACTAAGTAAGTGCTTTTTTAATTTGTCAACCGCAGCCGAACAAACCTCATTCCATTCAAATTTGGAATCCACTTTCAACAACTGGTGCAAGGGGTGTAGCCATGTTGAAACCTCTGGTACAAATCTTCTATAAAAATTTACAACTCCCAAGAATGCTTGGAGTTCTTTTACATTCTTTGGGTAAGGAATTTCTGCTATCTCCCGAACCTTATCCGGATTCATGTGCAATCCTTCTTTGTCAATTACGTGACCCAAATATTTAATTTTCTTACAGAAAAAATCACATTTCTCCGGGGACAACTTAAATCCAGCATTGGTTAAAATTTGTAAAACATTTTCAAGCCTCTCTAAATGGAGTTTCCTGTTACGGGCAGTAATTAAAATGTCGTCTAAGAAGACAACAACACCATCCATTCCCGTAAACAAGGTATCCATAATTCTTTGAAAAATTGCTGGGGCCGAGGCCAACCCATAAATTAGTCTAGTATACTGAAAAAGACCCTTGGATGTCGAAATCGTGGTATATTTCTTTGATTGTTCATCCAATGGTATTTGTTGATACGCCATGCTCAAATCTAACTTGGTGAATTCCTCCCCACCGTGTAATTTGGCAAAAATCTCTTCTATCCTCGGTAGAGGATACTTTTCAACTAATAAATGGGGATTTAGTGTGACTTTAAAATCACCGCAAATACGAATATCACCGTTCTTCTTTAAAACAGGCACTATAGGAGTTCCCCACTCACTATAGTCAACCTGCTGCAACACTTTTAATTTAACCAACTTTTCAATTTCTAACTCTACCTTCTTTTTAATGGCTATAGGAAGTGGTCTTGGCCTAAAAAATTTTGGAGCTGCGTCTTCTTTTATCACCAATACTGCCTTACACATCCTAAACAACCCAAGTCCACCATCAAACAAACTTCTAAATTTTGACATAAAATCCTGAACAACCTTAGAACCTGTCAAGGAATAATCCAAATTAGAAATTTTAATGCCAAACGTCTTCAAAAAGTTCCTACCCAATAGTGGTGGGCCACCATTACGAATCACTACAACCGGAATAACATTGATCTTATTTCCGTACTTCACAGTTACGTCACACTCACCAATCGGGGTTATACTCACACCATTGTAAGCCCTCAACAGTAGGTCTGTCTTTTTTAGTTTATGATCGCTGAAAAATTTGTCAAAAGTACTTTCCGAAATCACATTATTTTCTGACCCAGTATCCAGTTCCATCACAAATGGTTTTTCTTTGATTAAAATTTTAATCTTAATGGGGTCATCACCAGAACTAGTAATTGAAAATAGAGATACATCGGTATTATCTATATAATTAAAATTTTGTGATTTACACATTTTCTTTAAATGACCTCGCTGTTTACATTGATTACATTTGTAATTTTTGAACTTACAACTCTCGCTTTTATGATTTTTGTAACCACACACACTGCACTGGTAATCACTTTGTTTCTGCTTGTGCTGTGACGTCATCGGCTTCGCTGCATCTCTTTTGCCGTATCCACCCTTACTTCGCTTTATAAAATTCAGCTCTTGTTCTTGTTTAACCTCCACTGTGTCATACTGGTGTTTCACATATTCGGCACTATTAGCAATTTTAACCACTTGCTCGAAATTAACCGTCACTGCCTCCAAAAAAATTTTGTCCCGGGCCGGACCCTTTTCCAGTCCCATTACGAACTTATCTCGAATGGCAGTATCCAAACACGATCCAAATTCACAGTTCACTGCTAATGACCTCACACGTACGGCCCATTCATTTACCGTCTCCGTTGATGATTTTGTGGCATTATAAAACTTAAACCTTTCTGCAAAACCAGCTGTTTGAGGTGTAAAATGCCTGGTCATTGCAGCCGCACACTGTTCAAACGTCACTGTTGTACCTTCCACTTTAGCCGGACTCATCAAATTTGTCAACAAGATGTACGACGTCTCACATAGCGATGTTAAAAGAATTGCTTTTTTCTTTGCTTCTGCAACAATTTCGTTTGCAATGAAAAACTGTTGAAGTTGATTCTGGAACACCGACCATACCTTTTGTGTATGATCAAAATATGGCACTTTTCCAATCATTTGCAATTCCATTTTAATGGACAAGTTTTTTTTAAATATTTGCAAATTTAGTTTTATCCTCGTCGCCACTGTAATAAACTCAAAATGAAACGCGAGTTTATTATTAAAACAATCAAACTTTATTTTTATTTTAAAGTGCAATTTGGCAGCTACGCTTCACAATGATGAGTGATTTGTTCTTCTTAGAACAAAGTTGCAGGTGGCCACCAAACAGCAATCTTCTTTTGTAACGGCATCGTCTATTGGCGTTGTTGTTTATGTTTTTGGTATTGCTGAATGAGGAGAGTACCAGAGAGTGTATGTGCTTATATGAGAATAATTCTATGTTATTAATTAGTTAATTTGAAACTGGTTTTTGTTATTTACTCTCATTATAAATTACTCGTACATAGCTACATATGTTTTCATGTAAATAGTTTTACATTGTTAACAGGGGCGTAGTATTGTAATATAATAATGTGGGACACCACAAACCAAATCAACTAAAACTTGACATTTGGGGATATTAACCATTATTTGCTCAATAAACCTGAAATCAGATTAAGGATATATGTATATGGGAGCTATATCCAAATCTTAGGCAATCTCAATAAAATTTGGTAAAGGTATTTCCGAGCTCTATAAGATATCTGATACCAATTAAGATTGTTGTCGAATGCATATTACGAATGTGAGGGTCTTAAACACCAAATCGGATGAAACATATATATGGGAGCTATAGCTATATCTGAACCGATTTTCACCTAATTTTATGTACTTGTTTCCAGACTGAATTCGATCGGATGAGCCAAATTTCAGGTCATATTGACCGATATTTGACATTTGGTGCACATTAACCCCACAATCGGTTGATGATATATATGGAAGCTATGTCTAAATTTCAGCCGATTCTCACCAATTTCAATAGGGCCAAACAAATATTGTTTGGAAAATTTCACCTCAATCGGATAGAATATGCGATCTGCATTTTGTTCACAAAAATACATGGACAGAAAGACGGACGGACTGACATATGAAGATCATCAAAAGTAACTATGGGTCTATCTTGCTTCCTTCTCCATGTTACAAACAAATGCACAAAGACATAATACCCTGACCACTATGAGGTGTAGCGTATGCAAATCTTGGCGATGAGATTTTTTATGCAATAATGGATATATTGGAGATATATTTCCTGAATTTTAAAAACCTTCCTATTTCTTCTCAGAAACAATATATAAGTTCGAGTACCTAGTCTCAACAAAATTCATATATTTCTCTAATTCTGGAGAATACCAAAAGTTCGACCCCGTCGTTAATAGATTTTTACTTGCTGATGGTCCTTTCAGCTGTTTTAGTTTTTATTACCATAGTATGGAGGGTATATTAAGTTTGTCATTCCGTTTGTAACACCTCGAAATATACGTTTTAGACGCCACAAAGTATATATAATCTTGATCAGCATAAAATTCTATGTCGATTTAGCGGTGTCCGTCCGTCTATCCGTCAGCTTCCGAACGAATTGAAGTAGATTGATAAAATGTTACTCAAATGTACATTATGTTTGCAGGACTTTTGGTATTGAAAATGGGACATGTAGGTCTACGTTTTGGTATAGCCCCCATACAACGGTACCTCCCGATATTCGGTAGTTTGTTGATTTTAGCGATATTATTCATTGGAATTCTTTCAAATTTGGTATTTGAAGTTCGTAATGGATGCTACATCCTATGACAGGATATTGTCTGTGCAGGTCCACGTCTTCGTATAGCCCCCATATATTGGTATCTCCCGATATTCGGTATTTTGATGATTTTGGCGACATTATTCACCGGATTTCTTTCAAATTTGGTATTTGAAGTTCGTAATGGATACTACAGCCTAAGACAAAAAATTGTCTGTGCCGGTCCACGTCTTCGTATAGCCCCCAAATAACGGTACCTCCCGATATTCGGTATTTTGATCATTTTAGCTACATTATTACCGATTTTTTTGAATGTTGTAATGACTTATGACAAATGTTACCTATGCAGGTCCATGTCGTCGTATAGACCCTAATATAATAGCTACATTAGGCATTTTTAAGATTTTAACAGAAGTTTTAACGGATTTTATTGTTTTTGAGAATTGTCAAATTCGTCCCAAATGGTGGAGGGTATTAAAAGTTCGGCCCGGCCGAACTTACAACGTTTTGTACTTCATTGTCATAGGTTGTAGTACCCATTAAGATCTTTCAATACGAAATTTGAAACAATTTCGGTTTATAATGTCTCTGAACTTATCAAAACACCGAATGTCGAGGCATCGTTTTATGGGGGCTACACGAAGACGTGGATCATCATTCGCAATTTTTTTGTCATAGTTTGTATTACCCATTAAGATCTTCAAATTCATGATTGGGTTATTTAAAACTGTTCCGGAGATGTAACGAAATTATCGATTTTTTTAAAAAAAATCCCAAAAGTTCAAAAACGCACCATATTGGTAGTCCACAAAATTTATGTTCATTTATCAAATTTAGAAAAACTTTGGACATACCCAAAGGAGAAAATATCTAGCCTCGGCTCGTTCGGGAACAAAGACCCAAATCTCTGGATCTCAAGAAAGATAATAACAAATATTTAGCATTTTGGAATGTTTAAGGTGTCAGCAATCATTTGGCATAAATTTTGTGTACTCCAAATATTGGACCTTTTTCGACTTTTGAGAGATTTTTTAAAAAATCCGGGTCCAAAAAATCAATAATTTTGATATAACTCCGGAATTGTTTCATATAACCCCATCAAGTGACCACTTGTTTGATAGGTAGCTTTTAAATGATACCTACACCGATATGCCATATCGGTATAGTTGGTCTAACCCGGGTCTTGGACCCGAACTTTTGGGTCAAATATCCGGGTCCGTTCTCCAAGAAAAAAAAATACTCTCTCGGAATTAGGATACAAATACCTACATCTAGTAACAATAAAAAAATCCGAGAGCTTTTACTAAACTAGAGTTAAGCCTAGAAGCCTATTTACAGTGGAGAATATCAAAAGTTCTACCCCGTCGATCTGAGCTGATTTTTTTTGCTTATTTATATTTCATTCAGCTGTTTAAGTGACAATTTTTCTATTTACCGTATTTATATGGCGCTTAAAAATCACTTACGTATATTGACAACACTGTTCACACTCACAACTTGTCAAATGCTTCTCTCTCACACACTCACACACCATTCAACACCTACCCGCACTTTCGCCATCAAATATGAAGACCGGCAACAGTTTGATGCCTCTGTTTTTATCCGATATAGCTTCTAGCAAAGCGGGATTATCGTGCAGACGCAGGCCATGGCGGAACCAATGGATATTCACAGACATGCCCGTGTTCCAGTAAATCAACCAATCAATCCAATCGATAAAAATAATTACAAATTCTAATTAAATTGAGCTTTTAATTGTTTTGCCTTCTTTGTTGTTTGTTGATAGGTATTTTGTTTGGTTTTCCACTTGCGAATAGTTGGAGAAAATAAAAGTAAGAACTATATTTTTTCACTTCCACTTGTCGATTAGAACTTGAGACGATTTGCCGTTGTCCGACTGGCCGCGATAACTGACGCTTGGCAAATGCACTCTCAGTTCGACTGGAAACGTTTGGGTAAACTATTTAATGCTTTGCTTCTGTTTTGTTCTGTTCTCAACTAAACTACAACTGCACAAACAACAACAACAATGCCATAACTATTTGCAGTTGTTGTTGGTGTTACACGTATAGCTAGCTGAGGGTGTTTAAAGGGGAGAGGGGGTTTCCAAGTTTGCAAAAATGCATTTAGCCGGCATCAATTTGTTCGAGTTTATAACTGTGTGTGATTGTGTGTGTAGGCAGACAACCCCTTGACTTCCTACCCAAGCGTGTGGCCTCCTCCCCTGAAGGGTTGAACAAAGCTTGTTTCGCATAGTTTGCCATTGTATCGAGCAGTGGCGAGTGGATAGTTTTCTATTGTTTCATTTACCACTTGTTGTGAGACGTCGGTTAGGGTTTCTGTTGTGCGGTGTCTGTTTCAGAGATTTTTTTGATTGGAATTTCTGTAGGTTTTGAATATTGTAACAATTTGTTGTAATATATTTTAATAAAAATGTGTGCATATAGGCATGTGGGAATATTGAAATGTTTGTTTTTGACACCGGCTTTTGATTGATATGTTTGTTAGATTTTTGACGCATGTTCGGAAGTATTTAGAAAAATCACTACGGGGGATAGTTTGAGGCTCTTACTTTAAAATATCTGAAATATATTTTATTGTTAGTTAGGAGATAGGATATGATTACACTGTACAACAATATTGAATCCAAAGGGTTGGAGAACTCATTTTGGAATAAAAAATTCGTATTGGGTAGCATACCCAGTAGTAGTGGGGACCGAGTAGTGCATCTTATACTGATGACCCTATAGCCAATTACACCTATGCAATGGGGTCATGTATGCCTGGCTTTTGGTCACCCGGCCTCGCATATTGAGATTTTTGAAGCAATAAATCACACTCATCTGGAAGACTTTCCGAATTTCGTTGTTAGGTTTTTAATGGGTTAAGAACGGCATGAGTCAAATTTGGTTCGAATGGGTAAATATATGGGTAAAGTTCTCCCACATATAAGTTATATCATACTTGATATTTAACTACCTCGTCAGCGAAAAGTCCACCTTAAAATTTTAGATTCGCGTTAGGGCTTTTTATACCCTACAACACTTTGTGTTGGTTGTATTATTAGTTTGATTTGGCCAAAAATTATGTAACACCTCGAAATATTGATTTCCCACATAGGAAAGTACATATGGATCTTCCTATCTCGCCGAGCTGAGTCGATCTAGCTATGTATGTCCGTCCGTCCGTCTGTCCATGTTAATTTGTAATCGCTCTACAGGTCGCGAAATTTAAAATATAGGTGGGGTTAATGTCAAAATAGAAACCTATTTCTTTTGGAGATGATCGCATAATATTTAGGGGTTGAAATGGACCAAAAACTGAAAAATTTCCTGATTTTGCAGTTGCTCTACTGGTCACAATTATAGACCAATCGAAGCGAAAGTTAGCATGGGGCTAGAGCTTTGGGCTGGGCAGAAGCTTTCCAATTTTGATGGTCATCGGGTAACATTTGGTGGTTGAAATAAACCGTAACATTTGTAATAAATAAAAGTCAAATTTCCCATTAAACCGCGAATATTTTTAATGCCGGCGAAAGCATAAATAGACGAAAAGGTCAATTCTGACCGTTACGGAGATGCCGATAGTAAAAATATCGGATATATATAGCGAAATATATACAATGTATATATACAAAGGAAGGGGATGTTAGCTAAAATGCTTATATCTCCAGAATGGCTTGAGCGATTTTGACAAATCTTGTAGAATTAGAATGCTATTTTGGCATAAAAGTATAAAATATAAAAAATCACATAACAACATGCCAATAATGATGTTAATATAGATTTTGTAGCATTTTGTGACATATTTTTATTTTTTCATATTTTTTATCGCATGCGATTTTTATACCCTACACTACATAGTGGTAAGGGTATTATGTCTTTGTGCATTTGTTTGTAACATGGAGAAGGAAACGAGATAGACCCGTAGTTACTTTTGAGAACCTTCATATAATCACTTTCTGAGTCGATTTATGCATGTCAGTCCGTCCGTCCGTCCGTCTGTCCATGTATTCTTGTGAACAAAATGCAGGTCGCATTTATTATCCGATTGAGATGAAATTTTCCAACCAATATTTTTTTGGCCCAAGGACGAACCCTATTGAAATTGGTGAGAATCGGATCAAATTTAGATATAGCTCCCATATATATCTTCATCCGATTACGGGTTAAATGTGCACCAAATGTCCACTATCAGTCCAAATTACCTGAATTTTGGCACACCCAACCGAGAGAGGCCTAGAAGCAAGTATATCAAATTTGGAGAAAATCGGTTCAGATATAGCTATAGCTCCCATATATATCTTTCATCCGATTTGGTCTTTAAGTCCCTCACATTCGTAATATGCACTCCACAGGAATGATATTTGGTACCAGATATCAGATAAAGCCCAAAATGGTTGATTTTAATTTTATTAAAATCTGTTCCGATTTGGATAGGCCTCCCATATATATCTTCATCCGATTTCGTGTTAATTGTGCATCAAATGGCCAATATCAGCCCAAATGGCATGAATTTTGGCAAATCCGACCGAAACCAGCCTATAAGCAAGTACACAAATTTTAGTAAAAACCGGTTCAGATATAGCTCTAGCTCCCATATATATGTTTCATCCGATTTGCTCTTTAAGTCCCTTACATTCGTAATATACTCTTCACAGGAATGATATTTGGTACCAGATATCAGATAAAGCCAAAAAATGGTCGATTTTAATTTTATAAAAATCTGTTCAGATTTGGATATAGCATAGCATAGCATACTCTTCACATTATTCTATCGATTTCAGGTTAATTGTGCACTAAATGGTCAATATCAGCCCAAATCACCTGAATTTTCGTACATAAGACCGAATTCAGTCTAGAAGCTAATACGTCAAATTTGGAGAAACCCGGTTCAGAGATAGCTATAGTTCGTAAAATGCACGATAGAATTAGATAGATTTTGTACCAAATATCTCATAGAGCTCTGAAATGCCCTGTATAAAACTTTTTACGAGAGCTGTACTAAATATGCATAGTGGTGTAGGGTATCATATAGTCGGTCCCGCCCGACTTTTGAGCTTTCCTTACTGGTTTCAATTTGACTTATAATATTGAAGTGTATATTTTGTAATATTTTTGCACTTTACAACACAGGTTGGGGTTATTATTTATATACAGATTGCAATTATCGTTCGATGCTCACGAAATTTTTGACAAAGGTAGGGTTAGGCTCAGAAGGGCTTCAAAGATGTCCGCAATATATTTAGGGGTTGAAATGGACCAGCATCTCAAAATGTTCCTGATTTTGCAGCCGTTATAAAGGTCACAAATAGAAACCAAAGGACACAAAATCTTGCATGAAGTTAGAATTTAAGACAGTGGGTAGAATGGACCACTACTTTTGTGTGAAAAAATACAAACATTACTTATATGTGATATCCGAAATACACAATAGGCGAATTTCTAGCTTTTTTATGCTGATTTCATTGACGAATATAGCCAAATTGCTTTTGGAGATGATCGCAAAATATTTAGGGGTTCAAATGAAAAAAAAAAAAAAAAAAACAGAAAAAAATCCTGATCACACAATTGAAGCCAATCGACACGCCTGAGAAGATAGTTAAGCAGAGTGAAGAATTCTAGCATTTTGAAGCCCATTGGATTATATTTAGCCGTAAAATGGACCACAAAAACTAACAGCATGACGGAGTGCATAAATATCGGGAAAATGTCCCTGGTCGAAATGCTAAGGGTAATATTTGGACTGGGCGCAAAAGCGAAATCTTTCAAAATGGATTTAGACATGAGGGGGCTTCTCACATATTGTAGTGTTGTAGGGTATCATATCGTCGGCCCCGCACGGCTATAGCTTTTGCTTACTTGTTAGTACTCAAAATGCAAAAATGGTTAAAATTTTTATACCCTCAGTCATATGGCTAGAGAGGGTAATATCGATTTTAGACCCTAGGTCTCTTTGGACCAAATGCATTTCAGGACATTTGGAGTCGATCTAGCGATGTCCGTCCATCCGTCCGTCCGTCTGCCTGGTTGGTGTGCACGATAACTCTCGAAGGTAGTATCCTAATTGGTCCAAACTTGATACCACGTAATATTATAATTAAACATAGATCGAGTTCGGAGATGGGTAATATCGGTTCACTCCTTCTTGTACCTCCCCTACAAAATGTCAAAATTTTCAAAGAAAATCATAATAAGCTCAGAAAAAGGAAAGATAATCCGATTATGATCGAACTTTGTAAATCCTAATATTGTGCGAGAATGGACAATATTGGTCCACTCCATCAAGTACCTCCCCAAAAAGGGTCATAATTTGGAATAATTTTAAATCTTATGAAATTTGATGTAAGAGCCCGTTTTTCTTTAAATTACATCCATCACAATATTTTTATAAACCCAAGGTCTGGTATGACGAAGGGATATATCGATCCTTGTGATAGCCCCACCCCCCAAAAAAGGGTCAAATTTTTTTAATAACTTTGAAGGTCATAAAACTCGAAATTAACATCCAATTCCAATGAGACTTGGTGCATTTCAATATTTCCATCAATACAAGATCTGTTATAAAGATGGTAGAGATCGTAATATTTCTTCTGGTACCTCCCTCACATAGGGTTCAAGATTTTGAAAAACAAAACCCCCAAAGAAAGCAATATAAACATCCAACTGAAGATGAATATGAAATTTATGATTTTGAATAGAATTGGATACAAATGTTCGATTTTCTTCCGAAATGGACAATATCGGTCCAGACCATGAAGTACCTCCCCCACAAAGGGTCAAAAATTTGGAATAATTATAACTCTAATAATATGTGATGTACGAGCCCGATTATTTTCAACTTTCACACATCACAATATTTTTATTAACCCAAGGTCTGGCGTGAAGATGGAATATATCGGTCCCCTCCTTCTGGCACCTCCCCCACAAAGGGTCAATATTTTAAATAT